ATAGAACTATGAAAAAAGAAGAAAATAACTAAGTTCTATAAGAACAAAACCATGATATAAGCAACTAAATAATGAATGGTATTTTCATAAAGTTAAGATCCGGTAATATAGAAATAAAAAGAATCTAACCTTAGTGTTGCACTCCTTTTTGCTTTATTTATCATCTTCCAATTTGTAGTTCTCTTGAAGTAATGTCTGTACCAAATGTAATGCATCACCTCTATTCTATGATGAAAGCGATGATACAAATGAAAAAAATTAAAGAGGAAAAAAATAGAAAAAAATTATTACACAAATAAATAAAAAGGTATGAAGAATTCTCATAAAATGGTCTTTGTGGGATATGTTAGAAATGAAGGTCTGAAAAAAAAGTAGCTAAGCCCAAACAAATCCTTGAAGAAGACCTATTAAAATTCCTCACATATAAATAGAGAATCTTTTTTTTTCGTATCTGGGCCTTCCAAATGGAGCATATTCCTTTTATTAATTACACCTTAGGAGAAAAACACTCTTGATAAAAAAAATTATTGCTTATATTCTAAAGCCTTTTAATACAATATATCAAAGTGTTATATTGGCATTTTAATATAAGTTACTTCACATGCCAGGGCTAAATCAAGCTCCTAGATAAAAAGTGAATCATTGTATTCCAACAAGTAGTCCTCTCTTGATAAAGATTGAATATGAAACAATATAAATAAATTTATGAAGAGGATAAAGGGTTTAAAAAAGGTTCCAAGGATAGATAAAAAATTTTTAGGTGTTTATAAATGTATCCCCATTTCCATTTTAGTATATGCTACTTCACATGTCAGTGCTAATTCAAGCCACTAGATAAAAAGTGAATCATTGTGTCCCAACATGTAGTCCTCTATTAATAAAGATTGGAAATGAAAAAATATAAATAAATTTATGAAGAGGATAATAATGTGTTCAAAAAGGGTTCCAAATTTTCTTTCATTAAATATCATATTAAGTCTCTTATTTATCATTATAATATTCTTGAGAAAGGTATTTTTAATGTGTTGTGTAGGATATTGAGCTTATGTCACTTGGGAAAAGAAAAAAAAAGGTGAATTCAAGCAAAAATGATGAAAAACTAGACTTTGCACAAACGATCTTGTGTTAGCTTCCAAGTGCACGCCTGCACACGCAAAGTGCACGCCTGCACACGCATGCATGCACATGCAAGTACACACGTGAAAACATACACCCAAAGCACCCCAGGTGCAACTACGTGCATGCCAACCCATTTGGATCTAGCAGAACCGACCCCATCACAAATCATGATCTCACTGATCCATTCGCTCTGCGTCTCTCTATACTCCCATTGCAAAAGCTTGCACGCAGCCTCGGTAGCACCTCCACATACCCAATAAATCCCACTTCTCTAGAGCCACTGAATCTCACAAATCCAGCCAACTCCAGCTCTAGGTGCTTGTGTCTGCAGTCTGGGGCGCACGTTTGTGGGCACTCACTAGTACATAGGTGCGCTTACATGCCAAATCGCCAAAAACACAAATCTTCAGATTTGTTTCCAATTTGGAGAGATTTTATGTCTATTTTGGACCTCTAATGCCACATATATGTATAAATTCATATTTTTAGTATTATGAATTGACTTTTTGCTTATTGGTTTATGTCAGTTGGAGCTTTTGGAGTTTTCTTCCTTGGGTTCACTCGAAAGAGTATGTTTTATTGTTTATTTTTTATGATTTTCTGAGATGTCCTATGGCCTTGTAAGGAGGGATTGAATGCATATGTATGAGAAAGATCCACAAATATTTATATTGATTGAAGAGGACCACAATATATTGTAAGGTCAGATTGGCTTTATAATGTGTTTTTTGCAATTCTTGCATTGTCTCTTTTTTATGCTCGCAAAAATAAATTTCATGTTTTATTTCATCATGCAGTGTAACTAATCTTGTTTTGTACCCTTGGTTTGTAAAATTGGTGGATTTTTTGTGATTTTCATGTTGTGGATTTTTTATTCCCTTGATGCCTCGTTGGTGCATTAATTTTGATGTTGATGTGTTAATCTTTCAATTGTAATTAACTTTTATCAGAAGAGATAAGATGTTAAAATCCCTTACAAACTATGACGTCTGCTCATTGCATAGTAGAACAATATATGTTAACCACAAAATCATGAAAGGATAAACATATTCTAGTATGTTTCTACAACCTTGATAGGAGATCAAAAAAATCTTGGCAAACATCATAGGTTTAAACAATACTAACTTCAAGGGTTTCTAATTCTTCTTTTGACATAGATATAGGCATGAGGAGAATCCTTTTATCCCTGGTTGTCAACAATAATGTGGTTTCCATATAAAAACATTAAGAAACTATTTGACCTACATCACATGAGTATAACACTTGCATATCTGAAAAACTCCACACTTTTCTGCTATTTCTGTTTACTTCCTTTTTAGGACTATTATATTCATCTCTTGAATTCGACCACTCCAAACAAGATTTTGCGGTTCAGTAAACTAGAACTTTTACCACTTTTTGACCGCATATTATTTGACACGTATACTTGCAAGATTGGTCGAATTCGTGTTTTTCGGCGATCGACACTAGAATTTTTATGTTAAGAACATGAAAAGAAAAAAAAAATTTACAAGGTATAGACTAATTTAAATTATTTGTTATATAAATAAAATTACATAATTTTGTTATTCCCTTTAATTAGAGAAAATGAAATAAAAAAGTTGAGAATACTACCTTTGTTGCATGTGCTTATTTTGAAGATTATTGGAGAAGTGGTTGTGGGTAATGATGTCAGATGATAAAAACCAAACAATAGCAATCAAGTGATAACGGTTGGGAGATAATAGTCGAGAGACAACAATTTCTTGATGACAGTTAAAAAATAATATTTAAATGATAGAGGTCAGGTGACAGAGATCAAACAATAGTGATTGAGTAAAGATGATTAGACAAAGATAATCAAACGATGGTGGTAGTCAAGAAGGTGTTCATTGACGTTGATTGTGGTGCTAGAGTTTGTAGTTCTTCTAGTCTTTAAGCTCTTTCCTAATTCATGCCATTGTTCCTATCTCCCCTTCACATGGAGAATAGAGACTTATTTATAATTTTTGGAATGATATTTTAGTAAATCTAGTTCAAAATCAAAAACACTTTGCTAAATGGTTATGTTGATTCTTTTAACCATATATCATTCTTTCAGTATTTAAGTAATGCAATAACCTTAAAATTAAATGAGCATGCAAAGATTGAACATCCTTTGGTTTTTAAATTAATCTCCACAAGTATTCAACCATAATTCATGTGTTTAGTTTGGGCACTTTTGTACTTGAATCATATTACTTTTATGGCCTTGTTTGTCATGTTGAGATATTTAGTTGATCAAAAAACTTTTGAAATCAAAGTGTGAATGATCTTGATTTTAATTCTGAAAGATTTAACTCAAATATTACATTTAAATTCATTTTTGATCCATGACCTTTTTGGTGATGTATTAGTAAGCCGTAGGATTAATTAAAAATGTATCCACTTCATGAAACAAAGGAGAAAGACACCAACAACCCCCCCCCCCCCCCCCACACCTTAGAGCCTCAAAGACAATCATATGCTTGAAATTGGTGCATAACACATATAGATGGAGGAATAGTCATCAAGGGCCAATGAGATGGATAAACTGGAATACTCTCCCAATATCATTGTTCCTACTAATTTGTACTTACCTTCCATCATGTCAATGAAAAAAAATATATGATGGCTGAACCAAATTTTTTAAAAGTCGAAACTTTTTTATAAGAAGGTGGAGAAATTGATCTTGGCAAATCAAAAGGTATAGGATTGCAAGGACAGATAAAGCAACAGACTGCCCATACGGATTTAATGAGTTACCATGGTAGTTGGAGAGATCCCAAAGTCATTTTTAAAAATTTACCTGCAAGAATCATTTAAATAAATTTCAAAAGTAGGATCTTTGCGAAGCAAGATGTGAGAAAAATTAATTGACCTGTTTATAAATTTGTTGAGAAAAGTATGAGGATAGTGAACAAACAACCCTTTTTATTGTTTGTACTTTGTTGGGAGAAGGCAAAGAGAAAGGAAAGATGTCGGTTGTCTCCCCAAATCAAATGGCTTGTCGTTTTCAACTGCCATTTTTCATTTGTGGCGTGCTTATAATGTCTGGGTTTTAGAAACCAATGCTGAGTATTTCCTTACAGTTGCATGGACTTAACTTTATTTGCTTATAATAGTTGTTGGAGTGTCCTTTTCGCAATTAATATGCCTCACTAATTCAGCCAATTCTTCTGTGGATTAAAACTTTTTCAGTTTAGGATGTTAACATGCTTAAGATGTCTGATAAATCTAATAAAACGAAAAAGATTGCTGTTGCTGACAACAAACTATTGATGAAGATGGGTCTTTCTATTATGTCGGGGATGATTAATTGAGTCGATTTTGATTTCAATTTCCTTTTCGAAGTTTGGATCTGTCTAGCTTTTGCAAGCATGCACATTTGTTAGCCACCACAATCAGCGACAATTTCAGCTGCCAATTCAAAATTGGCAAGCTGGTTGATGTCTACCTTGCAAAACAATTTGAATGTTTATTCCACTTTGACTTGTAAGGCATGGAATCCTAAACAATAATCTGTCCCCTTGAAGAATACAATAACTTAGATATGCAATTATTTGCATGACAAGGAAGAGTACCAAATTTATTTATAAAATAAGAGGAAATACTTAAGAGTAACGAGGAAGATTTTTCAGCCAACCACCAGGCAAGCCGAGCATAAGACCAAGAGGACATGGCAACATAGGCTTCCATGTGTGCAGGCCTCCTTATCTGTGATTAAGATAAAAAATAATTAATTAAGCTTTCATGTCCATTAATTTCATTTAATAAAAAAGGTTCTTTCTCATAACTTCTCTCTCAGTACCTTCTGTAGAGTTCTGACATAAAAAGGCTGGGGGCAAGATAACTGTTTTCATACAGCTTTTCGTCCGGAAGAGCGTAGAAATTCACCTTCTTCTTCAATAGATAGTAGCAGCGATCCATCGCCCTATACTGAATCATCCTCCTCTCAGGCTGCCAAGGCAGAATTGAGCACGGATTTAAGGCTTGGCCTGCCAACATCTCAAAACACACTTAATCCAAGGTGTGTCTGCGATGATTGTCTTATTTGCTTCTTTCTTGTATTGTCATGTACAAGTATAAATAAATATTTTTTCACTTATTTTCACGAGGGTTATTGATATTCTTATTAACTTTTTGTGACTGCACAGGCCTTGTATTTTCCGAGAGTTCTGTATATTTATGGTTCATGCCTTTCCTACAATTGATGTGTTTTTACCAATTTCTCAGTGCTTCTCCTTCTCTAATGGTTGTATTTTGAAAGTTTTAATCTCCAATTTCTTATGTACTCTCAAACAGCATGATGCTGAAGAATCCCTCTGTTTCTGGTTTTTTCTTCTCGCTCATCATCCTTGACAAAAAAATTTCAAGATATTTACTGCAGTATTTCACTACTTCGCTTCTTTGAAATTCTGGTAATTTGCTTGTTGATATTGCTAATCTTTTCTTATGCTTTTGAGACGAATTAATATGTTTTATCAAAGCTATATGGCAATCCTACTTTTACTGAGATGAATGTACAAAACATCTTTTGTAAATTATCTACAGATGTGTGTAGCTTTGTTAGTTTAAGCTAATTGATAACACTTGCGATAGGAATATAAACTAGAAGCACTTGTTATAAAGAAATTCTTCCTTTTTACGCACTGGTTTTATTCTAATTTTAAACTTTAATTCCTTGATGAGATATTTTTCTTATTTATTTGTTGCTTTGACAGAGGAATGGAGTTCTTTTATTTTCTCCTTGTTTTTATCAGCTTTTTTCCCTTAGTATAATAAAAAAATTAGACTAATTTTAAAAATTTACATCTTTTTCATTCTCTAGTCTCTCTAAATCAACAATTTCAGTTTGACTTATATTGACTTCCTTTCAACTTCTACATAGTTCAATAATCTAAACTGTATCTTCCTTTGAAAGTAAAAAAAGCAAACTGAGTGCCCTCCTATTCTCCCGTTTCCCTTTCATGATTTGAAATGTGATTCTTTTCATGTTCTCAAGCAATGACTACTTCGCTTCCAAGTTTCCCCAAACACGTCGCCAGTGGACTTGTTTGGTGAGGAATTTATTTTATTGATCATAAGTTTGATACATAAAGACATCTAAATAAATTTCAAATTCTACAAATCTTCTCCGAACTCTCTTAGAAGCAACGATTTCATGTTCATACCCAAAATAAATGATAAAAAAATCATTTTTTTATTCTCTGAAAGAATAATTTCTCTTTGAACGCAACCAAATTAGCCTATCATGACTGTTTCGACTTCAATCAGCATCCTGATTAACCAATTCTTTCTAGACTCACTATTTTCTGTTCATGGCGACCAGAGAACTTTTACCTGATTGGCCACCAATAAAGCCAGTTCTTAGAACTGCGCTGGCAGAGAGAGAAGCCTACAGAAGTCATCCAAAAGAAGGAAAATTATTCGTCAAAGTCTACATGGAAGGGATCCCAATTGGACGGAAACTGGATTTGTTGGCTCATGATAGCTATCAGAGTCTGATCAAAACACTTCGACGCATGTTCAGAACCAAAGTCATCTGTAATAAGTTTACATCCACTTCTCTTCAAAAAATTTCTCTTCTGACAAAATTCAGCTAGCACATTCTGAACCGATATATTTCTTTATTAATACTAATTGTTTATTTGGTTTGTGTGGATAATGGGGTGCAGGCACTGAACTGGCTCAAGTGCCTTCAAGCAAGGCTCATGTGCTCACCTACGAAGACAAGGAAGGAGATTGGATGATGGTGGGAGATGTCCCATGGAAGTACGTATCGTTAATTATATCTCTATCCTACCATTTCATCTGATTACAATTTATCTCAGTTCATTGTTTTGTTTGCTTCAGACTTTTCTTAACGACTGTGAAAAAACTAAAGATTACAAGGGCAGATAAGTGCTGAGGATCAAGGATTTAATACCTCAATCCTTCTGTTGATGAGCGAAGAACAGAAGATGAATATAGAGAAGTCAGAAGGTTCTTTGATTTTTGTTTCTATTGTGAGCTATACTGTGTTGCAGTGCAGAGAGTCATCCCAGCTCCTTGATTTTTGTTCTTATTTGAAAACACATTTTTTAATCACTGAGCTATTCGGTGAAATTCTATCCGTAGCTCATTACAGCCACCAATCAAGGTAATTGCTGCAGCCATTGCATGTGATTTGTCGCTCCTGCTGAGTTGTTGGTAGTGATTATTAGGAACAAAATCTAACGAAAAACTAAGAAAATGTAAAAGGAAGCATAAAAAAATGTGGAGATTCTTTTGCGGTTGGCTGATCAAAGTCTGACATGGAACAATGATCATATTTCACTGTATGGCTACAGTGCACTAAAGAGGATAACACCTTTTAAATACAAATAGACTAGGAAAGAATCGACATGGTTTCATCAACTATGGATCTTCTGCTGGATTTATATATGCGGGTCCCCAATAAAGATGAGAGTTAGGTAACTTTGTCTATTGGTCTCGCTGCGCTTTAGTGTCTGCTTATCTCTGTGTCCATGCTCCATGCAAAATAATAAAATTAAATGGGATTTAAATACATAAAACACAATATTTATACTTATGCCTAACACCTAGAAATTGATATTTACTTGAACAACACATTAATGTCATAATATGTGAGAAAATATCAATAAAACAAATGTTTTATTTAAAAACATTAATATTTGTGTGTTTTTTTGACATGATGTTAAGAATTTTGGTATTTTAAATACTAGTCTAGCTCTGAAGCCGATCAAATGAAAGCCTGCCCGACGCAATGAATTCTGCGTGATCACGCTGACACCACCCAACCGGGATATGCTATTACAAAGATCAACAGTCGCCCAGAGGAAACTCCTTCAATATAGATACATTGATCAAAGGAGAGTTGTGTATCAGATTATAGTAATACACTCTCTGCTTGATGAAATAGTCCTATACAAAGGCACCGTGCCTTTGCGACTTGTCCCCTCGGAAAAAGCTAAAGATCATTCATTCGACTGAATAACTCTACGCCGACCGAATTAGGACCAAGTGACCAATCCAAGCAGTTACGAATGCAAAACAGTGTTAAGGGGTGTTATAGATATGGAACGACGCCAATAGCAATTACAAGATTAAAATATGTATGATTCAGTTACAAATATATAAAGATGTAATTACTAATAAATTATGGTAACATCTCTATTAAACAGGGATTCCCGATCGTCCGATTAAATTATGGAATCATGCCTTCAACAAGAGGAGGAGCATGTGAGTGTGAAGGAACACATCAAGGAGAGGCCTCCAATGTGGAGTATGTTAGGGATATCGTATAACAACGAATCCAAGATTTGTGTAATCAGATGACAAGTCAAATTGGGGAATTGACCCGAGTGGTTGCTTGAAGGAAGAGCACATCCTTTCTCACAACTAGATCCACCAGCACCCGAGCCCCAATCTCAACAAGCGACCCAAGCCACCGAAAGAGTGGAAGAGTCCCAGTAACAAGATAGTGCTAAGTTAGGGCCAGAGGGAGGATTGTAACCAAGAGTGATAGAATTCTACCACCAGATAGAGAATATGTTTGTCCGACATTTTGAGGAAGGTGAGTCCCCAAAGAAGTTTAAGGTTCCCTCCTTGGAACCGTACAGAAGTGTTGACCTCACTTTTGGTTGATGTTTAGTTTTCCATCTTTAGTTGCCTAAGGTCTAGCCATAGGACTTTCCTGTTGACTATTCTTAGAAAACTAGAAAAGGAACCCTCACCATTAGAAACTCTAAACTCCTCCTTGCTCAACTTGCAGTTCCACATATTGGTCATAACCTCTAGCCTTTGGTAGGTGGGGTCAGTATGAGGGCGCTCAAGATGAGCCCCCATAGGATTGTCTGACCTTAGGATTAGCATTGGGTGTTGGTCTGGAGCTAGTTCACTCACTCTCACCCACAATCACAACCCTAAACCCAGTATTTGTTGACTTTGATCCCTTGATCTTTTGGGAGACTCATGTAGATGGTCCCCTAAACCCACTAGCCCTAGGCTAGGGTTTAGCTAAGACCAGTACATAGAGAACCCAAATGGGGATTCCATTGGTCCATAGTTTACATATGGTGGTTGGCTTCCCAATTCTACCAAAAATACCTAACTTGGCCTTTTGCCCCTAAATCTACCCAACTTACCAAAATGCCTTTGAAACCTTAAATTTGGCCAAAGATTCCCAAATTCACTCAAAATACTCAAATTTGTTCAAAAATCATTTCAAACCATTTCCAAAGACCCAAATTACCCAAAGTCACCCAAAAATTTCAAAATTATTAAAATACACCCAAAAATGCCAAAAAATACCCCCCAAATTTGCCAAAATTACAAAAATACCCTTGGCATTCCAAACTTTCCTAAAACCTCCAAAATCACTTCAAATGTCTCCAAAACCAATTTGAACCCTTCAATTGAACCCATTTTGGCCAATTTGACTTTGACCAAAACCCCCCAAATTGCCTTTAAAGGCCTAATTTCCCTAAATTTACCTTAAATATCCATAAATTTGGTCCCAATTTCCCTCAATTTCAATTCTAAACTCAAATTCACCTTTCATTTGATCAACCCAAACCAAATGCAAGCCTAATTGGCACATGCTTTGAGCTCAATCTTGATCTAAGTCAAACCCCAAATTTTGGCCCTATTAGTTAATCCCACCAAATTGAACCCCATAGCCTACTTAATTTGCCCCAATTTGGATCCTAAATCTTTAATAACACTACTAAATACCAAACCTGACCTTAAATTGGCCTCGGTGAAGCCTCAATTTCATTTAATTTCAACCCAAGTCCAAAAATGCCCAAATTTGCCCCAAATTGGCTATGTCCCCAAATTCCACTAAATTGAATGCATTAACCCCAAAATTGGCACCCAATTTCTGTTGAAAACTCTTCATGGCATTCCTATAGACCATTTTCAACAATCAATTTGAACCTTACCCAACCTTAGCCTAACCTAGACCCAAGTCTAGTCTAACATGCCCAAATTGACCAAAATCCCAAACTCCTTCAAATTGAGCTTCCAATTGGACTCAAAATCACTTCAATCCTTCACCAAAAATCTTCATAACAATCATATATACAAAGTTGATTAATTAATTGGGCTTAAAGTCATGGCTAGTCTAACCCTAACCCAACTCATAGTCATTTGGACTCAAATTGGACCCATGCACTAAAACTAACTTAGCCATCTCAAAGCCACCAAATTGATGACTCCACAACCACTAAGCACACTCTATTGACCAGGATAAACCCCTTTGGACCAGCCATGGTGAGCTATGGACCATTGGATCCCTAAGTTAAGGGATTTATGCTCATTTATGGGCCTTAAAAAATCTTCCCCATCATCACTTGCCATTGAGGGTTAATTATAAGTAACCCTCCCAATGGTTCACATGACCTCCTGGCCACCTCCCTTGGCCTTGCCAGCTGGCCTAGTAGCTGTAAAACACCAAAACTGAGAGCCATAAGCCAAAATTCAAACCCAAACTCACCTATATGAGGTGGCAAATTCCAATTGGCTTTAGCACCATTTTATTTAAACCTCACCTCCATGGCAAAGAAAAAGAGAGTTGAAATTTACTTAAGGAAACTCTGCCAAATTGCTCTCAGAGACTCTCTAAGACCTCCTCAGTTCAAGCCCACCATTTTCCTCTATTGATCTCTATTGTGGAAGCTCAATTTTGAGCTCAAATTTTTGTCAAAACTAGGACAGAACTCTCCACAGCTCCACAACTCGCCAAACTTCAATTACTCGTGCACACACCATCCCCACAGTGAGAGAAGTTGATTCCCCACAAAAGCCCCATCTGAAATAGCCTCTAACCTAGCTCTAGACCAACACCTGAAAACCACCTTGATCAAATTCATACCTAGACCATTCACCA